AATTATACGAAATATTTATTATTTCGTCATTTACCTTTATAACGAGTAGCTGATAAGAAATTATTTTCTCAGTGGAACACCATACGATTTGATTCCAATACGTTGCTGGATGCGTGAACATTACACAAAGTTGACAACGAACAATGCAAGATGCAATCATTGTAATAGAAAATTTAATTATATAAAATGCATACATAATTTACATAAGCACTTGATAAAGTTACATCCAGACAAATTAACAGAAGAAGAGAAAAATGAAGTGAAATTCCATTGGACTTGGGACTATTATATCGCAAAAAGCAATACAGAAGCATTATGTAAACTATGTAAAGTGATAGTTAGATGCAAGACTATGTCTTATTTAAAAAATCATTTAAAAAAAAAGCACCAGTAAGTACTTCATATACCTCATATATACTAAAAAATTTATAAAAGTACTTAGAATTGTAAAATTGATTAGAACAAAATAATCAATATTTGCTAAAGAAAATGTAATCCATACAAGAATATCCATTCGTCGAAAAATTTTTCAAATATGCGTGTCGGCAAATATAATATAAAACATATCAATTTGCACTATGCATACATAAATATTCTGTAGTTTTATTTTGTGCAAAGTGCATTCTGGAATTCGAATTTACTTTCATCATGTATAAAAAGAGCTAATAATATTTTATCGCTATAATTTTTAACGAGGAATGGTCAGATTTATAAAATGTTTGAATCTACTTGATTGCTACGATCCTGACCGCTTTTAATTGTAATTCCAGTAATACGAGAGTCTGAATAAAAAATAATAATTTTCAAATCTTCCCCATAATACAACATTGTGCATAATTGGAAATAATATTTTTACATCATTTTTATTCTCGCTTGTTTGATAACTCCTTGTACATATAAATGTAGGATATCAGGTCCAACTTCAGATAATGTAATAGATAACGAAAACAATTCAGATAATGGCATGGATGCAAACAAATATGTAGAAGGTGCAGACGGAACAGAAGCAACTAACGAGTAATTATAATCCCTTGCGTTGAGTATAATTTAATTGGACTTTTAAATGGATATTACGAATAGAACCTGAAATTTTCTTTACAAATATAATCTATCTATATTATATGAAATATTTATTTATTCTTTCGTTAATTACCTTTATATAAAAAATATAATAAATATAATAAATATAATAAATAGCTGATCAGAAATTAATTTCTCAGGGAAGCAGCAGACGATTTGGTCCCAGTTCGGCGCTGGATACGTGTACATTACACAAAAATGACAAGGAATAATGAAGCAAGATGCATTCATTGTGATGGAAAATTCATTATATATATGAAACGTTTAGATACTATACATAAGCACATGGTAGATGCACATCCAGAAAAATTAACAGAAAAAGAGAAGAATGAAGTGAAATTCCATTGGATTTGGGACTATTATATCGCAAAATGCAATACAGAAGCTACATGTAAACTATGTAAAGTAACAGTTAGAAGCCAGTATATAACAGCTTTAAAATATCATTTAAGAAGAAATCACGAGTAAGTACTTCACATATACTTCATGTATACTAAAAAATTTATAAAAGTACTTAGAATTGTAAAATTGATTACAACAAAATAATCAATATTCGCTAAAGAAAATGTAATCCATACAAGAATATCCATTCGTCGAAAAATTTTTCAAATATGCGTCTCGACAAATATAATATAAAACATATCAATTCGTACTATGCATACATAAATATTCTGTAGTTTTATTTTGTACAAAGTGCTTCCTGGAATTCGAATTTACTTTCACCATGTATAAAAAGAGCTAGTAATATTTGAACGCTACAATTTTTACCGAGGAATGGTCCTATTTATAAGATATTGAAATCTACTTGATTGCTACGATCCTAACCGCTTTTGATTGTTCCAGTAATTAGAGCCTGAATAAGAAATGATAATATTCAAATCTTCCACATAATAGAATATTGTCCATAATTGGAAATAATAACTTTAAAGCATTTTTATTCTCGCTTCTTTGAAAACTTCTTATACGTATAAATGTAGGATTTCAGGTCCAGCTTCAGATAACGTAATAGATAACGAAAACAGTTCAGATGATAACATGGATGCAAACAGGGATATAACTCTAAAAAAAGCAAACCGTCAAGAAGCTTCATCTAACTCAACAAACTTATCTGACAGTTTGTATGAATGTACAGAAGGAATAGAAGAAATTAACGAGTAATTATGATCGCTTTGCGTTTACTGTAATATATTTAAATTGATCATACGAATTAAACCTAAAATTTTCTATACAAATATAATCTATCTATAATATATCTAAATTATACGAAATATTTATTTATTATTTCGTCAATTACCTTTATATTGAGTAGTTGATAAGAAATTATTTTCTCAGGGGAAGACTATACAATTTTCTCCCAATATGTCGCTGGATGCGTGAACATTACACAAAGTTGACAACGAATAATGCAATATGCAATCATTGTAATAGAAAATTTACTTTACATAAAAAATGCATACGTAATTTACATAAGCACTTGACAGAGTTACATCCAGACAAATTAACAGAAGGAGAGAAGAATGAAGTTAAATTCCATTGGATTTGGGACTATTATACCGCAAAAAGCAATACAGAAGCATTATGTAAACTATGTAAAGTAATAGTTAGATGCAAGACTATAGCTTATTTAAAAAAGCATTTAAAAAAACAGCACCAGTAAGTACATATACCTCATGTATACTAAAAAATTTATAAACTTACTTAGAATTGTAAAATTGATTACAACAAAATAATCAATATATGCTAAAGAAGAAGAAATCCATACAAGAGTATCCAATCATCGAAAAATTTTTCAAATACGCGTGTCGGCAAACTTAATATAAAACATATCTATACGTACTATACATACACAAATATTCTGTATTCTTATTTTGTACAAAGTGCATTCCTGAATTCGAATTTACTTTTACCATGTATAAAAAGAGCTAATATTATTTGAACGCTATAATTTTTACCGTGGAATGGTCAGATTTATAAAATACAATATTTGAATCTATTTGATTGCTACGATCCTGATCGCTTTTGATTGTTCCAGTAATTAGAGAGCCTCAATAAAAAATGATAATTTTCAAATCTTCCACATAATAGAATATTGTGCATAATTGGAAATAATATTTTTACACTATTTTTATTCTCGCTTGTTTGATAACTCCTTGTACATATAAATGTAGGATATCAGGTCCAACTTCAGATAATGTAATAGATAACGGAAACAATTCAGACGATGGCATGTATGCAAACAAAGATGTAGAAGGTGCAGAAGGAACAGAAGCAATTAACGAGTAATTATAATCCCTTGCGTTGACTATAATAAATTTAAATTGATCTTACGAATAGAACCTGAAATTTTCTATACAAATATAATCTATCTATATTATATGAAATATTTATTTATTCTTTCGTTAATTATCTTTATATAATAAATATAATAAATATAATAAATATAATAAATAGCTGATCAGAAATTAATTTCTCAGGGAAGCAGCAGACGATTTGGTCCCAGTTCGGCGCTGGATACGTGTACATTACACAAAAATGACAAGGAATAATGAAGCAAGATGCATTCATTGTGATGGAAAATTCATTATATATATGAAAAATTTTGCTAATATACATAAGCACATGGTAGATGCACATCCAGAAAAATTAACAGAAAAAGAGAAGAATGAAGTGAAATTCCATTGGATTTGGGACTATTATATCGCAAAAAGCAATACAGAAGCTACATGTAAACTATGTAAAGTAACAGTTAGAAGCCAGTATATAACAGCTTTAAAATATCATTTAAGAAGAAATCACGAGTAAGTACTTCACATATACTTCATGTATACTAAAAAATTTATAAAAGTACTTAGAATTGTAAAATTGATTACAACAAAATAATCAATATTCGCTAAAGAAAATGTAATCCATACAAGAATATCCATTCGTCGAAAAATTTTTCAAATATGCGTGTCGCCAAATATAATATAAAACATATCAATTCGTACTATGCATACATAAATATTTTGTAGTTTTATTTTGTACAAAGTGCATTCTGGAATTCGAATATACTTTCACCATGTATAGAAAGAGCTAGTAATATTTGAACGTTACAATTTTTATCCGAGGAATGGTCAGATTTATAAAATATTTGAATCTACTTGATTGCTACTATCCTAACCGCTTTTGATTGTTCTAGTAATTAGAGAGCCTCAATAAAAATGATAATTTTCAAATCTTCCACATAATAGAATATTGTGCATAATTGGAAATAATATTTTTACACTATTTTTATTCTCGCTTGTTTGATAACTCCTTGTACATATAAATGTAGGATATCAGGTCCAACTTCAGATAATGTAATAGATAACGAAAACAATTCAGATGATGGCATGGATGCAAACAAAGATGTAGAAGGTGCAGACGGAACAGAAGCAATTAACGAGTAATTATAATCCCTTGCGTTGACTATAATACATTTAAATGCATCTTACGAATAGAACCTGAAATTTTCTATACAAATATAATCTATCTATATTATATGAAATATTTATTTATTCTTTCGTTAATTACCTTTATAATAAATAGCTGATCAGAAATTAAATTCTCAGGGAAGCAGCAGACGATTTGGTCCCAGTTCGGCGTTGGATACGTGTACATTACACAAAAATGACAAGGAATAATGAAGCAAGATGCATTCATTGTGATGGAAAATTTATTATATATATGAAAAATTTAGCTATTTTACATAAGCACTTGGTGGAGGCACATGCAGACAAATTAACAAAAGAAGAGAAGAACGATATGAAATTCCATTGGACTTGGGACTATTTTACTAGAAAAGAAGATAGAGAATCAACATGCAAATTATGTAAAGCAAGAATTAATCATAATAATAACCAGAACATAGTAAGAAGTTTAAAGGAACATTTAAAAAGTATTCATAAGTAAGTATACTCCATAATAAATAATTAATAAACGTACTGAAAAATATAAAACTGATTCCAATAATCGATAAAAGAAAAATAATCAATCTTAGCTAGTGGAAGTGTAACACAGATTAGAGTATCCATTTATCGAAAAACGTATTAATATTGTATGTCGGCAAATATGGTATAAATACGTATTTATTCATTCTTTATGTACTAGTATGATCATTATTTTAATAATTTTTGAAATTTGTTTGGGACACTTCCCCTAAAGTGATTCAATTTCCCAAAAATTAGTAATATTCAATTATTTTATTTTTCGCGTGATAACGTCGAACGTACAATCGAGTAGCTGGTATATTTTTAATCATACTTAATATCGATCCTTTAATCACTCATTATCTAAATGTAGGATATTCGGTCCCGGTTCAGATAAACACGTGGATAACAAGAACATTTCGGGTAATGTGGATGCAGACAGGAATACGACTATAAGGAATGCAAAATATCAAGAAGACTTATCTATCCCAACAGGTTCATGTAACAATTCATACGTAAAAACAGGAGGAACAGAAGATCTTAACGAGTAATTATTTGTTTTACGATTATTAAAATATATATATGAGTATACATACATGTAAATAGATTTTACGAATTTTAAACATTGCATTTTCCATGCGAAGATGATCTATTAGGCAATATGTGAAATATTCGTATATTAAGTGTTAAATTACTTCTCCTTATAATAAGCAGAAAATCAAAATTACTTTTCTAGTCATATTATTACATTCGGTACCATATGTAACATAATTATACAGGGTGTTCCATGGTAAGGTGTTGAAATTAATCAGCTGTCGTTTTTGAAGGTATTCAGTTATTGAAAAAATTGCGCTGATAAGAGGAAAATCTGTAATTTTTAATGGGTATAAATAAAATTTAACAAAATATTTGTGTATCAATTAACTTTATTGATGAAAAATATACTCATAATCCCAAGGAGTTACTTTTTCGGAGGGTGCACTATCTGAATTTGTACAAAATACAATTTTTTTACGAAAGCTTGGAAAAACTTTTTCTAAC